ATAGAAAATGCAGCTCTTTTTAACTTTTTCTTGGTCTTCCCTATTTTGTGTAAAAACAGATTGTTTCATTTTAGGTTATACATTTTTGGGGCTCAGGGAGAGGGTAGACACCTGCAAACAAAAAACGACCAGAGTCTTTTGATTCTTCACCTGCAAAAAAAATACCAGGCATGTCAAGCCACTGGTTGGCACAGGTGTTTGGTGGCCCACGAGGTAGCTGTCCTTGGGTTGGAGGTGGAGTGGAGGGCAGGTGTGCTTGCATCTACCTGCATCTGTGTCAGGAATATAGGGCCTGAGTCCCTTAATGCTCTTCCTCCTCATCCCCAATCCTCTCTTGCACAACTGCCATTAAGACTCATGTAGAAAGGGCCACTCAGTTGTGTCTATTTTATCTACCTCTTTCTGATTTGGGTTTATAAGTTTTGCACTGACTGAGGAATCTAGCAAACACTGAAAAAATACTCTTTTCTTGTGTGGAAAATATTCAATACTTAGTTTTTATTTAATTTATTCTGTGCATTTTTGGGGCATACAGTAACTCTGAGGAGTTAAAAGTGAAAGCACCCTTCCTTTAGCTTCAAAAGATAAGATCTGTGTTTTGTTGGCTAAGGGTATAGATAATAGTTACTAGATGGCGAAAGATGCTTCCTTGAGGCAAGTCATGCCTTGCTTTTCTCTGTGAATCTGAGTTCTTGGCACAGAGGAGATGCTCAGTTCTTGGTTATTAAACTGAGGGAAGTACTATGAAGGGCTTCTTTTTCATTCCCTGAAGCTTTCCTCCAGCGGATAAGGAGACAGCCTTTAGTGTATTCAGTAGATCTAATTTGATTTTAACAAATGTGTAGAAATTCTGCCCACTTATAGCATCACTGATTTCAGAGCTCTAGTTCATCTTGGAGCTCTAGTTCTCTAAATTTGCAATCTGTGATCTGTCAGAATGGAGCTAAAAAAAAGTCTCAAAATCCAGAAGCAAAGGGTAAAACTAACAAGATGGGATTTAATAGGGATTTAGCCAATGTTTTGTAAACAATTTTTGAATATATCCTGTGTGAAAAACCAGTGGAGAATGATGTTGCAGTCTTTGAAGTCAGTTTCTTAATAAGAAATAATAAGAGTAGATATAAAAAGTCTGACCCCGATTTTACTCCCCCCAAAAAAGCAATGATACTTGTTAATTTGTTCATGTACTTAATTATATGATTTACTCATTAACAATATGAATTGAGCATTTAACACAACAGGCCCACTACTTGATGGAGATCTGCCTGAGTGGATAAGAACCAAGGGCTCTAGTCAATCAGCTGGGCTTGAATGCTTTCAGGGGTGGGCTGCTCTTTGCCTCCCAGAATGGGCCATTCATTTTAAAACAGCTCCCTAAAAATTTCTTATTAAATATTAACTCTAATACATTGGTCCTAATTCTACCATGTGAGAAGCTACAAAAAATATAATTCCTTTCTAAATTATATCCCTGGAAATAATTGTCTGAGGCTCCTGCTTATCTTTAAAAACTTAATTTGAACATCATCTCCTCTGTGAAACTCCTTAAGAGTTGTTTCTTCTCCTTTATTAAAATAGGCATGGAGTCCTAAAACTTACTGTTCTTATTAGAACATCCTAGGGAATAATTAAAAATATAGATTCTAGAACTACATTCCAGTATATTAAGAAAACTCCCCAGAAAAGGCACTTGGTTCACAGGCTAGCATTTGTTAACTGCTGTGTAGAGGATATGAACTTGCACCCATGGAGCACTTACTATGTGCTTTGGTGTTTCTTTGTTTAGTTATTCTATCTATGCATTTTTATTTTCCTGTAAATATCTCCACTTTACCTATTAATTGTAATGTCACTATCTCATTATCTATCTATATTCTCCACCATACTTGGAAGGTTTTAAGTCATTTTTTGTATTCTCAAAGATTTATCACAGTGCATTGTACCCGATAGGATCACTGTAAGTGGTTATCCAGTGTATGAATGAGTGGAGTGTCAGGAACAAATTTAACAGTAACATTTGTACCACACTCTGAGGTGGGAAGACTCAACCGAGATTTTCAGAAAAGCTTTGGGTTACATATTCATTACTGCATCTAGGTCAGAGGGCTAGAGGGAGGAGGGCATCACCGTAGGAGTTGGGAAACTTGGCTCATAGTCACAGCTTGGTCAAAGAATAACTGCTGAGGCCCAGTAGTTTTTGTTTGTAAAAAGAAAGTATTTGCCTGTATAATCTGTTGGCTTCCTTCTAGCACCATGATTTATTTAGAGTCCTTGATATCGGCGTCTGGACCAGGATAAAGAGAAGGGTAACTTGTTCAGTGAAAAAGATAGTGTGGGGTCAAGGGGAGGGAAGTGAAATGATGTGAGAGAGGGGGCAGGGGTAAGATATTGATACAGGAATGTTCTTGAGGCGCTGGGAAGATTGTTAGTAAGGGGTATTGACCAGTGTGTCTAGTGGCATCCTGCTGCAGGTGGAGGAGTGAAGAATATTCAAAAACTCTTCTCTCTCCCCTTATTCTAGTAGAGGGAGTAGGAGGGAGAATGTGGATTGGTCAACTAAATCAGGTCTTTCTGAGATCTTTAGATATTCTTTATCATCCTTGGTCATCAAATCAATAAAGATTCACTGAAGGTTTCACTGAAGGTGCAGTGGGCCTTTCATTTCAGAGACTTGCTTTGAATGGCTTGAAATAGTTACCACCTAATGGCTTGCTATATTCCTGGAGCCCTGAGCATCTGTTTAACATTCAGGCTGCGTGGTGCCAGTGAGAGCTCCCAACAGAAAAGGGAATTAACTGTTTGGTGTGTTTTAATAAGTGAGTGAGCAAAGATCATGTGAATCGATTATCAATTTGGCTAACTTTCTTGCAGGGCTTGTGTAGAAGAATTAAATGCAAACAGACTGCATGTTTACCAAAGAGGAATACACCTTGAAGTGGATATTAGGATTCTCAAATGTGATTTTTGTAATGCATTGGACCTTTTTCTCCCCTTTCCTTATTTCTGTCAAGAACATGTATTGGAAATGAAGGTAGAAATCACTTTAAAAATGATTAGATACAGGACTAGCATACAGAAGATCTGTTCCTCCAATAAGTACTTTTAAGTCCATCCTATTACCTTCCTGTTAGTCCAGAGGTCATTTCCAGAACCTTAGGCTCCAGGGACACTTGAGGATGGTACTTAGTTTGTACTGACACTGAGTGGGGGTGCCTTTACTTAAGAGGAGTCCCATTTATTCCATCTTACTTGCCTTAAGGAAGAGAAAGAGTACTTTCTTGGCAAAGACTCCCACAAAAAAGCTGAATTGATCTGGTTTTACCTACAGGATGTTCACTGTTTAGATAATAACTAGCAAAGTGGACTTACAATGAACTTTGATTCTAGTTGTTCCTTATTATTCTTCATCTACTTCCCTCACCTTCATTCTTTGCTTTCTAACAGGGACACACAATTGTTTGTGTATTCATGGCTGGTGAATGTTGTTCCTCTAGCTGAGAAGCCAGCTTGGGGAGAGAGAAAGGGAGAGAGGGTGTGTGTGTGGGGGAGAGAGAGAGAGAGAGAGAGAGAGAGAGATGGACCTGTGAGAAGGAAGGGCCCAAGCCCTTGGACAAGCACTTTTATGAACCAGCATCCTCCTCTGTTTCCCCATTCCACTTGAGGACGTCTCTGTGATGGCACCTAACACAGGTATGTGTGACTCTGTGTGTCACTTTCTGCTATTCTCTGAGCACAGTACCAGGCACATAGCAGCTACTCAGTTACAGTTGTTGAATGCCTGAATGAATAACCTCTCTTGAACTATGAAGTGCTTCTTTGTTTTGTTTTGTTTTGTTTTGTTGTTTTCAACTGTTGGATCTTTCCTGGTATTCATAAATTTCTGGGCTGTGTTGTCAAGCACTGGTTTTCAGCTGCCTTACTGTTAAGTTGAATCTTAAAAAGTCCAATGATTTAATGGTTTATTTCATTACTGTTGGGTCCAGTAAACTGGAAGGCCAGAAGCTTACTGGGTCCAAAGAGGAGAAGCTGATCTTAATAAAACATGAGTGTTGAACTGACAGCGACATGTTGCATTCTCTGTATCTATCTTCAACAAGTAAACACAGATAACCTAAAGTAGCAAATTCATAGTAAAGTGAAGGAAATTCCAAAAGGAGTTAGGACAAGAGAGTGGAGAAGAGAAACCATTGCATTTTTATGGATTGATGACATAATGGAGGTTGTGTGCAGGGCTGGCTCTGGACTGTGGAACCGTCAGGGGTTGCAGTCACTGTCCTGTCAGCATCCTCTGCTGCTCAAAGTGCCTTTTATGTCAGGTGCCCCCAGGTTGTAACACTAATGCCCAGAAGGCTTGGCTCCCGTTTCCTGAATCTTTCCTACCGTGCATGTCACAACTCACCGACTTGTGTCTGCCTCCCTAGGGCCTGCTTGGTTGACCAAATTGCTTATATTTGATGAATTAAATTGTAGTAAGACCTGAAGGTTTGGTATTTTACTTCCCAGGGTTATTTGCATTTTAACTGGGTATGCAAGGACTCTTGGTTTAGCTCTAAGAAATAAATTACCAATGCTTGAATTCCCAACCAGGCAAGTGGGTGAAACAGATATTTTTCTTGGATTTATGTTCCAGTGTCAACCCTCAAATCATTTGAGGGCCAGCACATTTCTTTGCCTTCCTATTCCCACTTCTTCTTTTTCTTTGCCCTTTTCTTCTTCTATCTCCCCCTCTTCTTCCTTCTGCTATTCTTCTTTTTCTTCAAATTATTCTTCTTACAGATCCAAGTAGACGTGAGTCAGAAATTTTACTCAGTATTGCTTTGTAGTTAAAGGAAAGCTTGCCTAGTCACCTTGGCTTTAGAACTCTACTGGCAAATGAAGGTCATTGTGAGTGAGCTGGCAGAGGAAACCCTGAGACTGAATGCGATTTGGATTTGCCCCTTCTAGGGCCAAAGGAATTGGACCTTTGTACTTTGGAAAATTGAAAATGTCCTTGGAGTTACCTGCTTACCGATGTGGAGAGTCATTATGTGGAAGGTTTGGGTCATTGTGTCTCTCCTCTGTGGAAGACAGAATGAGAAGAATGGGGTTAAATTCAGCAGCTAACACTTTGGAAAGGTTAACACAAATGGAAAACTTTGTGGTAGGTAAGTGAAGGAATTATTGTACATGGTACTAATAGCATAACCATTTCTATTCTAGATCTGTATTGTCAATAGAGTAGCCACTAGCCACAGTGGTTGCTGAGCATTTGAAATGTGGCTAGCCCAAACTGTGCTACAAGTGTTAGCACACTTGTTGAACTGTGCTGCAAGTGTTAAATACACTGGGTTTTGAAGGCTTTCTTTTTAAAAAAAAAAAAAATAGGGGTATCTGGGTGGCTCAACGGGTTAAGCATTTGACTTCAGCTCAGGTCATGGTCTTGCGGTCTGTGAGTTTGAGCCCTATGTTGGGCTCTGTGCTGACAGCTCAGAGCCTGGAACCTGCTTTGGATTCTGTGTCTCCCTCTCTCTGTGTCCCTACCCCCCTCTCATAAATAAATAAACATTAAAAAAAGTAAAATATGTTGTTTTTTTAGTTAGATTATACTGTGTAATGTTTATAATATTTCTGACATTCAGTTAAATAAAAGATATTGTTAAAATTATTTTCAATTGTTTCTTTTGCTTTTTTCCAGTGGAGTTACTAGAAAATTTAAAATTACATCTGTGGCAACAGGGATGTCCACTCTCACCACTGTTGTTTAACATAGTACTGGAAGTCGTAGCATCAGCCATCAGACAACAAAAGGAAATAAAAGGCATCAGAATTGGCAAAGAGGAAGTCAAACTATCACTTTTCGCCGACGACATGATACTCTACATAGAAAACCCGACAGACTCCACCAGAAGCCTACTAGAACTGATCCAAGAATTCAGCCAAGTTGCAGCGCACAAAATCAATGTACAGAAATCGGTTGCATTCTTACACACCGATAATGAAGCAACAGAAAGAGAAATCAAGAAGCTGATCCCATTCACAATTGCACAAAAAACCATAAAATACCTAGGAATAAACCTAACCAAGGATACAAGAGATCTGTATGATGAAAATTATAGAAAACTTATGAAAGAAATGGAAGAAGACACAAAAAATGGAAAAACATTCCATGCTCATGGATAGGAAGAATAAATATAGTTAAAATGTCATTACTACCCAAAGCTATCTACACATTCAATGCAATTGCAATCAAAATTGCACCAGCATACTTCTCAAAACTAGAACAAACTATCCAAAAATTTGTATGGAACCACAAAAGACCCCGAATAGCCAAAGTAATATTGAAGAATAAAACCAAAACGGGAGGTATCACCATCCCAGACTTTAGCTTCTACTACAAAGCTGTCATCATCAAGACAGTATGGTATCGGCCCAAAAACAGACACATAGACCAATGGAACAGAATTGAGAACTCAGAGCTGAACCCAAAGGTATACAGCCAACTAATCTTTGACAAAGCAGGAAAGAATATCCAATGGAAAAAAGACAGCCTCTTTAACAGATGGTGTTGGGAGAACTGGACAGCAACATGCAGAAGAATGAAACTAGATCAATTTCTCACACCATACACCAAAATAAACTCAAAATGGATAACGGACCTGAACGTGAGACAGGAAACCATCAACACCCTAGAGGAGAAAGGAAGAAACAACCTCCTTGACCTCCACCGCAGCAACTTCTTACTTGACACATCCCCAAAAGCAAGGGAATCAAGAGCAAAAATAAACCATTGGGACCTCATCAAGATTAAAAGCTTCTGCACGGCAAAGGAAACAATCCACAAAACTAATAGGCAACCAATGGAATGGGAGAAGATAGTTGCAAATGACATATCAGACAAAGGGTTAATATCCAAAATCTATAAGGAACTCACCAAACTCCACACCCGAAAAACAAACAACCCAGTGAAGAAATGGGCAGAAGATATGAACAGACACTTCTCCAAAGAGGACATCCAGATGGCCAACAGACACATAAAATGATGCTCAGCATCCCTTCTCATCAGGGAAATACAAATCAAAACCACACTGAGATACCACCTCACGCCAGTCAGAGTGGCTAAAATGAGCAAATCAGAGAACTCTAGATGCTGGCAAGGATGTGGAGAAACGGGCACCCTCCTACACTGTTGGTGGGAATGTAAACTGGTACAGCCCCTCTGGAAAACAGTGTGGAGGTTCCTCAGGAAATTAACAATAGAACTCCCCTATGACCCAGCAATAGCACTGCTAGGAATTTACCCAAGGGATACAGAAATGCTGAGGCATAGGCACACATGAACCCCAATGTTCATAGCAGCACTCTCAACAATAGCCAAAACATGGAAAGAGCCTAAGTGTCCATCAACGGACGAATGGATCAAGAAGATGTGGTTTATCTATACGATGGAATACTACACGGCAATGAGAAACAATGAAATCTGGCCATGTGTAGCAACATGGATGGACCTTGAGGGTGTAATGCTGAGAGAAATAAGTCAGGCAGAGAAGGACAAATACCATATGTTTGCACGTATAGGAGGATTAGGAGGAACTTAATGGAGGGCCATGGGGGAGAAGAAAGGAGGAAATGGTGGGGGAAAGGGAGACAGGCAAACCATGAGAGACTCTTGAATGCTGAGAACAAACTAAGGACTGATGGATGTGGGGGGGGGAGGGGGGAGATGGGCAAAGAGGGGGGCACTTGTGGGGATGAGCACTGGGTGTTATATGGAAACTAACTTGACAATAAACTATTTGTAAAAATAAATAAATAAATAAATAATTTTTAAAAATAATAAATAGAAAGTAAAAAAATAGATGAAACTAATTTTATAATGTTTTTATTTAACCCAATATGTGTGAAATATCATTTCAATATTTAATCAATTAAAAAATCATTAATGAGAAAAAAATAAAATAAAATAAAATAAAATTACATGTGTGGTTGGAATTAAAATTCTATTGGACAGTAGTACTGATATGCTGATATGGATCATTCATCTTTTCAGTGTACATGTTTTCTTTAATCATTGATAAGATATTAAGTCATATTTTACATTTATCCATTTTGTTGGATGAGTTTCCTCATTACCCCTGAAGTGTGCTTTGTAATCGGTACAGGGCTCTGGTGACAGGCCTGTTGGATATTACTTCCTGGAAATGTTTTGAGATATAGGAACTCTTGGGTGTGCATTTTGGGTGTGTGCTCAGGAGGATTTGATGGTGGTTCTCCTTCAGGAAGCAGCATTGAAACTTTAAAGGACAGGATTTTGCCTGTGGAAAAATATCTTATTTTGTGGGGAAGAGAGAACATCTTATTTTGCATATTACAAGATAGATTATATCTTTAATGAAAATGACAAGAGTTCCTTAGATCAACAATGAAGGATGAAAGGCTCTTACCTCAGGACAATTCAGATCCTCATTACTATTCAGGATTTCTTCTCTGCTATAGGTTATTCAAATTATTACCTGCCTAGATAGGCAATTAGGCTACAAGAGCTATGCTATAATCTCTGTGTATTACTTAAGATTGAATTTGGCTGTAAGTAACAATAAAACCCAGCAAATAGGGGCTTTAAAAAGATAGAAGTATACTTCTCTCCTATATGAAACGTGGTGGGATGGAGTCCTGAGTTGGTATAGTGGCTTTTGTTTTGCCGTGTCTTCAGGGACCTACACTCCTTTTAGCTCCTCCTTGGCCATCCCTACTGTGGCTCTGTCTCTCATGCTACCAGATGACATCCTCCATATTCTAGCAGGTGAGGAAGAAAAAGGGACAAAAGAGAAGAAGGGCAGACTTTGTGTAATAGCTGTTTCTTATAGTTTCATAAGCTGTCACATGACAATTGTACTTCTATCTTATTGGCCAGACTTTAGTCTGAGTGGCCATGTGCTGAGTTAAAATTTCATGGCTGTGAAGGAAAGGCAGAATGGATACTGTGGGACAATTAAGAGTCTTTGCACAGTGCGTTGTTACACATTATAGACATTACTTTATTACATACTGTGTATTCTATTACTTCAGGGCTCTACAACATGGCTACTTCATATAGCCGTATGTGTAGAAAAGCAGGAAAGCAGGAAAGCTTATTTCATGTTTGGCCCTGATTCTTAAGAAAAGCCAAGCTATTTCTGGAGAATGGCTGTTGTATACAATAAAATGATAGTAATAATGTTTTACATTTGGGGAGGGATGGAGTTATTAACCTGTAACCTAATTTTGTGCACTCAGGAAACCAGGATCTTGACATTAATAGTCAGGTAGGGTCTGCATATTCCCTATTAATATTTAGAGGGGGTCCTTTACCATGAGAATTAATGAATATGACAAAAGGATTTGCTGAACATGCCTGAACTCACCCTTCAGAGTAAGAAATAAATGTATTTGGCACGATTACTGGCTTAAGCCTAGGTCAGGCAAGCTTCGACACATCTATCAGACTGATGGGACCAGAATGACAAATGTCTTGTGTTTGCATGGAGGTTTCAGGGTCTCAGAAAAGAGTACTAAATACGTGTGTGTCCATCCCTGCAGTCAGTACGGGTTCCTTGTGCACCAGTCAAGGGCATTGTGTTGCTTCTAGGAAGGAGACCCATGTTAGAGGTTACTAAGGTTTCACTGGAACCTTTTATTTATTTATTTTTTTGCTTGTACCTGACTTTCCTGGGAGCAGTGGCTTCCTGCCTATACTGGTTGCTGTACACAAAGTTTACCAAAATTCCATAACCATAAGCATTTTCAGAATTTGAATGTCCTTTGCAATGAGAGTAAACCCTGGACTTTGCCTTTCTCCAGCTTCTTCAAAAGGACTCTAAACTCTTACTCCTGAGCACTTTGTTAAGGAATCAGGTTTTTTTTCCCCACTTGCCAAGATTATTTTCTTTTCATAAATTACTGCATTAAAGCTTTGAAGAAAAAGTCATTCCCTTTAAAGTTAGATAAAGCATATTTATAGCTCCTTTAAAAGGTCCCCACTTTAACAAATTTGTGTAATTTCACAAGCTTCACACACATTTTCCCAGATATTTATTATAGTATATGTCGAAAAGTCATGTGGAATTTTGAGTCAGACTAATTTTGGTTTAAATACTCTGCAGTTTTACTAGGTTTGTCACCTTTACTAGCTGTGTGGCCTTGATCAAGTCACCGAACTGTTCGTAGTCCTTGCTGTGAAGTCATTTTCCTGATATCCATCCTGCAGGGTTATTGTGAAGATGCAGTGGATCTATGTGATGCATTTAATGTAATGCCTGGTATTAAAAAGAAGCTTAGTGAGCTCTATTGTTATTCTTTTATGCACCAGATCCCACTCCACATGATTTTACAGATGCCCCCACCCCCAGTTTATACACTGTGATATTCCAAAGAGATATTACTTATTGTGAGTTAAAAGCCTTTCCTCCCTTTCTTGTTCCTTCTTTTCACCCTTTATTTCTTCCTTTTTAAAATTTCTCTCTCCTTTCTTCTCTTCCTTTTTTATTTTTTACTTTTGGTGTCTCATTCCAGGTATAAGATCCTTTTTTTTTTTTAATTTTGCCCCAGTGGTTCAGTGTTTCCTTTATCACAACTTCCCTTTGGTATTAGACTAGGACTCCATAACTGGATTTCAGATACTAAGAATGTCAAATTATCCTTTGGTTTTATTCAGCTGTAATTGTCAGTTTACACTTTATAACTTCATGGTGTAGGGGTTAAGCTGAGTGAAGCCAGCCTTGGATATTCTCCTGGTATTGACGAAGAGATCAGATCCCGAGCTGTTAGTACTCTCCTGCTTCTTGTTTCTTTGCCTTGGGGGTTGGGGAAGCAACTAGCAAGTCAAGGCAATGGATGGAGCAGGGTAGGTGTAAAGAGTGAGAGCCCAGGCTCTGCTGAGTCCCGTTGCTAGGCAACTGCATACAGGGAGCTGACACCCGCACATGCCTGCTAGCATCCTGTTGTCTTAGCAACAGAACATTTGGGTGGAGGACTAGGGGAGGAGGGGAAACGGGGTTCAAATTATTCAAAGTTCCCTAGATCCTAGGGTACCCTCAGGCCTGAACCCCATGTATTCATTGTCTTAATCTTACCACATTGACTGGAACTAAGGTTTCATGTTTTTTTTTTTCTTTAGTTCATTACCCAACATTTGTACAAGGTTTTTTCTCAGAGTTCTACATTACCCAAATCACATGGCAGCTCATTAGAGCCCATCCATTTCCAAGTTGTGGTGTGCTCTGCATGGCAGGGCCTATTCTATGGAATTTTAAAATGATCCTTTGCTCCAAGTACAGTCCCATGGGACAGAAATTACATGTTCACTTGTATGGAAATTTAAATTCTCGTTGTTTGGTATGTGAAATGTTGCTAAGTCATTATCATTAGATCTAAGTACTGTCACTTGTGAACTTTACATTTAGTTACAAAGAATAAGGAAAAGAATAGAGGATAGGATGGCTTCCCTTTGCCTGTCGAACTCTGTGAGATTCAGGAACTATTGCATTTTGTCCTGTTTACCCATCAGTACTTCACACGTGACTGTATTCCCCTAAGTGTTGGAGCCATGTCTTCCTCATCTCTAAGGTCTTTAGCTCTACGTGCTTCATCCATGCCTTGGGTCCTGGCACATGCTAAGTGAGTTTATTCAGTGAATGACCCGGGAACCCACACAATATAATCCCATAAGTGAAAATACTTTGAATCTGTACAGTGCAGTATATAAATATCAGTTACTATTCCTGCATGCCTGGCTCTAACCCTGTGCTCTTTTGTTCCTGAGACCACCTCCTGTCTTTGGATCCCTATGTTAGTGACTAGGTCACTTGTTCTCTCAGATCTTATGCCCTGTTTTGAAGATCTGTCGTGCCCAGTTTTTTTTTTTTTAATGGTTGAAACTTTAGCTTTTCCTATCTTCCCCAGAGACCTTGTAAACCAGCCGTTGGCTAAGATTCTGCCTTCAGTTTTCAGATTTCCTAACTCTCCCTATTGGTTCTTCTTCTGCATTTTGCTTTATCCTAGAACTGCCAGCATTTTGTTCCACGGTCCCATATATATCAGTAATCATGGGATTCTTTGAGGCCATTTTCTTGTCTCAGCTCCTACCTGTTGTCTGTTAGTGCATCTTCCGTGGATGCTTGGTACTCACCTGGGGAAGTACTTAATACCTAATTTTAGGTCTTTTCCACTGAAGCTAATCCTTACATTATGGGGTGTGTCTAATCTTCTTTTATATTATGATAGCAGCTTTGGCCCTGACACCTGTCCACTTACCCTCCTTCTCAATGGAGGGGGTCATGCAATCATTATGAAACAAAATAAAACAAAACTTTTCAATCATATGATCTAGTTGAGAACTCAGTTATTTACTGCCTTATGCTATTGGTTTTTTTTTTTTATCACAAAGATATATGCCACTAGATGTAGAAAAAACACCATGTTTTAAAAACTCTATTCAATATCTAGCACAGGGTTAAGGATATAGTATTTACCTAAGGTATTGTTTTTGAATTAAATTGAATGTAGGTTTTAATATTTACCAGTGAGATAGAGCTTTCACTAAGACTTTGAATTTCTTCCAATGTGGAAGGTACCAGCATATGGCCCAGGATCTCAATGAAACGATTTGGATCCTAGATAGCAGAGAAGAGACGAGTTCTCTTTAAGTGGTATGTTTTCTTTATACCGGCTTTACATTTGGGTTCTATACACCCTGAATTGGTGTGCATCTTTGTAATGGAAACTACTGATACTTCAGTCTACACATGCCTGAGTGATTCTCTCAAATAGCCCTAATGGGAGCCCTATCATAAATAGCTGCATGTAAGGTAAAATGTAAAATAAGACAACATGTCTGGAATTAGTAATCCTGGCAGACTGAAAATCTAATGGCTCATTCAGGGGAGATTTCCATTTAGAACAAATTGGAAGCTGTATAAACCAAAATCAGATCCAGCTAAACAATAAAGATCTTTTGAGTCAACTTTATACACACACATACATACACACATTCACACACACACCAAAACTTGCACGTCAGTATATATATATATATATATACACACACATATATATATAGAATCATATATATATACTTCATATATATATATTTTTTCATGCTATATATATATATATATATATAATCATATATATATACTTCATTAGACTTGATCAAGAGAGAGTCATGTATCTGTAAATAAACCACTGATTACTGAAGATCTTAATGGTGGAAAGTGAACCTGTCACGGCTGTCCAGATATTCCTGTTCCTCCTTCTTTACCTTATCCTCTCTCCTACCAATTTCTTTATTCTAGTAGAATAGATTCCCACTGCAGTTTTTCTTAATCCTTCTTCAGATGATCCAGCAGGTACTCTCCTCCTTGTTTACAAAGAGACATTAGCTCACAGGTAAGGGTGAAGCTGGCATATTGTCTATAATCAGATCCCTTAAGGGTGGCATATGGGATGGGGCAAGCCAGAGTTGGAGCTAGGTGGAGACACGGATGCTGTTCAGGTAAGGATTGTGGTGGTATTGATCTGGGGAGGAGGAGGAATTTTTCCTACCCTAATATTTTGCTCACCTGAAGGTCTTTCTGGAGAACTCTCTTTTGCAGAAGAATGCTTAAAACAAGTAGGTAGAACAGCTTTCTGATGTTGTTGGTCTACTGAAATAAAACAAGTCTCTTCTCCTCTGGGTGCTTAGGTACATACATAGCTGATGTCTCCAAGGAATTTGACTAGACAAGCTGGAATCCCTCCTGTTGTGAAAGGTCTGTTCTGCTCACTCGGGGCAATATGTGGCTCAAGGTCACA